CTCCAGGGTCCCAAGGCCGTGCGGTGATGGACCGTGCAGTGAGGTCTTTTGGGATTTCGGGGTCACCGCGCGGCCTGGCGCCACAAGGCACTGGGACTCCCAAATCAGGGAGAGACGCTGCGATTGAAAAAGTCAGATCGTCGGAGATATTTGTAAGTACGTTCTGGCGGTGGGATCCTCGGGCATCCCGCAAGTCTCGACCCTTTCCCTGGGGCCGTTTTACCATCCCGAGTCGTTTATCGAAGAGTCTCCCGGGGCCCGACGATGCCCCCCCAGAGGCCGAAGGCTGGGACAAACTTCCCGCCGTGATTGTTCACGACGCGGGCATGTCAGGGCTTTCGGTCCATAGCTCGGCTCTCCAGCGGCCGTTCGGGTCGATCCGGGCACCCCCAGAACGCTCGCGGCGAGGCGCGGCTGCTGGAGAGCATCCCCAGACTGAAAGGCGACGGAGTCCAGTATCGTTTCACCGATCCCTATCCCCATCACCATCCCTGTCCCGAACCCCACCATCCCACCATCCCAGTCGGGGACGTGCCGCTCGAAGCCCGGGGGGAACAGGCTACACGTCCCCATCCAGGGTCGGGGGGGGTGACTCGACCAGTGGAGCCCAGGCCACGCCAGCGGGGATAGGGCTCTGGCGAGCGATGCCCCGGAGAGCCGACGGAAAAACAAAGCCGAAAGCCTCCGCACTGAGAGCTTCTCTGTGCTCTGCGGGCCCGGGCCCCCTCTCGCTGCCGCGGGCTGCCCGGCCGGCAGCCGCCTTCTCGGCGCCGGGCACCGGGGCCGAGGAGCAGCGGACAGAGCGGGCAGCCCTCGGGCGGTGCGCCACGGGCCGAGCCCCCCCAGACCCCCTCGAGTCATGAAGAAATCATGGCGGGAGGTTTTTCCCGATTTTCGGCCTCCCCAGGCCCTCACTGGGCCTCGGGAGCGTCGAAAAACGACTCAGGATGCAAAGCCGGTCATGGGGAAGGGGTCGGGACCTCTGGGGGTCGACGTAATGAAGAAATCATTACGTCGGGGGTCTGGGCCCGTCGTGGTCTCTTCTCTCGCCCCGCGGGCGCGCCCGTCGGGTCAGGCGGGGAGGAGGAGGAGGAGGAGAAGGAGGAGGAGGAGGAGGAGGAGGAGGAGGAGGAGGAGGAGGACGGGGAGAGGTGCCGATGCGATGCCGCCCCCCTCTCTCGTTTTCGCCCGCCTCTTGGGGGGCCTTCTTGGGAGGCCCTCGTCGCCACCGCTGGACGATCGCCTCGAGAGCCTGGTCGGCACGCGCTCCGGGCGAGGTCCGGGGACTGCAGCGGTGTCGGTGCCCTTCGGGCTTTCCCCAGTGAGAGCCAGGGCTCTGTGCGCGGTAAGTGATACGGTGGGGGCGTTCTTCCAGCCCAGACCCCCTCGAGTCATGAAAAAATCACGACGGGAGGTTTTTCATGATTTTCGGCCTCCAGGGGCCCTTACCGGCCCTCGGGAGCGTCAAAAACGACTCAGGATGAAAAACCGGTCCTGGGGAAAGGGTCCAGACCTCTGGGGGTCGACGTAATGAAAAAATCATGACGTCGGGGGTCTGGGGAGGGTTCCTTTTCTGATCAGGGCGACGGTGAGATCCATGGTCAAGCCTCAACTGCTGTCCACCAACTTTCAGACCCTGGATTCCTTATCCAAGGTTTCTTTATCCAAATGCCATCACCGTAGGCTCTGGAAGCCCCCGACGTGTGCCAGAATCGCGAAACCAGGTTTGGCGCTGTTTGTGTGTTTACGGGCGACGGCAGCTCCGAAAAGTGGGATGGGATTGGGGAGGCGTCCTTTGTGCGTGTCTATATTACCTACCTCCTCTCCGTATCCGCTGCCCATTTGGCTCAAGGAGTCGGCGTGATAGTAGTCTCTCTTTGTGACAGGAGAAACAACATCTATCGGTTCTATCCTGCGGATCATTGGTAATTCTAGATACTTCGCGTAGTGGTGGCGCTGCCGTCGTTTCCACGCCCCTCGCTCCGACCCCTGTCGGCGTTTGGCGATCCGGACCCTACTCCGTTGAGCGCCTGCATGTCGTTGTTCGACGTCTGCATCGGTTGCGTCGCGGCCGTCGTCGAGCACGCGGACAATGATTTTTGCCATTTTGGCGCTGCACTTCGACCAGTGGTTCTTCCTGGTCCTACCGCGTCTCCTGAGCCGCAGCGTGGCTCGCTCCTGTGTGCTCTTTCTTCGCTTCTTCCTCCGCCTGTTCGCCTTGTGTTCCGCTTGCTTTCGTTTCCCCTTCGTGCCGCGGCATTTAGGTCGTCGCTTGTTAGCCGCGTTTCTTGACGGCGCCTGGCATCCCTGCGCGCTCGCGAACCAAAAAGTAACCCCGCCAACCCATCCAGAAACGATGCCCGGAGGAGTTGCCCTGATCAGAGATGTGGCGTGGAGGATCATGCCGTGGACTATAGGCCTGGGTAAGACGTCGTACCCGAGAGGGGGAGGATGGAGGAGGAATCGGATGAGGAGCTGAAGGCAGAGGAGAAGGAGGAGGAGGAGGAGGGATGTAGGAAAAGGGGGAGGAGGGAAATGGAAGGCGGAGGAACAGGTGGATGATAGGGAGGAGGAGGAGGAGGGGGAGGAGGAAGAGGAGGAGGAGGAGGAGGAGGAGGAGGAGGAGGAGGAGGGGGAAGAGGAGGAGGAGGAGGAGGAGGAGGAGGAGGAGGGAGGAAGAGCAGAAAAAGGCTAGAGGCCTCTTGGGTGCCTCTCGGTGTTTCGTCTGATTTCGTCCAAGAGCGTCGGGTCCTCTTGGGGTGTCTTGGGGGTTTCTTGGCACTCCAGGTGGCTTATTGGGGTATCTTTGGTGCCTCTGGGGAGCCTCTTGAGAACATCCTGGGGGCATGCTGGGACTTTTGGGGCCTCCTGGGCACCTCTTGGGGCCGTCCTGGGGCACCCCTGGGAGCTGGGAGCCCCCAGCGCCATCTTGGAGGATATCGATAAAAAAAGGGGGGGTCTTACGTAGGGCCTCCCCCAGGAAACCAACATGTGGCCAACACCCACGTCACATCAGTGACTCGGGGTTTCTCGCCGAGGCCTCTTGGGGCGTCTTGGGTGCCTCGTTTTTTTTTTTTTGTCCCCCGGGGGTCTCTTGGGAACCTCGTGGGGGCATCTTGGGCGCCTCTAGGGTGTTTCTTCTCCTGGGCACTTCTTGGGGTCGTTTTGGGGCACCCTTGGGAGCGTCGGGGGCCTCCAGGGCCATCTTGGAGGAGACCGATGAAAACACGGGGGTGTCCTTAGTCAGGGCACCCCCCCCTGGGGGCCAACATGTGGCCAAAACCGACGTAGTTTTCGCCAAGGCATCTTGGGGTTTTTTGGGTGCCTCGGGGGGGATTCGGGGCGTCTTGGAGGTCTCGCGGGGGGCATTCTTGGACGTTCCAGCGTCTCGCGAGACGCCCCCTCCAGGCCCAGGGGTCGGGGGTGTGGGGAGGGGCCAAGGCCTCCCAAGACCGCGAGCCGTCTCGCTCACCTCCCACCCGCCCTCCCACAGGCTCGGAACACCGCCGAGGAGCGCCACGCATGCCACGTGCGCCACGGGCTCAGGTGCACGTGCTCCACGAGCGCCAAGTGCGCCACGTGCTCCAGCCGCGCCAGGTGCGCCACGTGCTCGGCGCGCGCAGTGCGCGCGAGGTGCGCCATTGCACAGCCGTCGCCGGGTGTATTCTGCATTGTTTTTTGGCAAGGATGGCTGGCCTGCGCGCATCAAGCAATATGCCGGCACCCCCGCCGTCCCTGTCAAAAACCAATGCAGAGTGGTCGCGGGGAGGCCGCCGAGTGGTCGCGGGGCGCCTGCGCATGCTCTGGATTTGGAGGCGAACTGCATTTTTTGACAGGGACGGTCGGCATGCGCCCAATTTTTGCGCAACAAGCAGCATGCCAACAACCCCGCCGACCGTGTGAAAAACCAGTGCAGAGCGGTCGCGGGGCCCCCGCGCATGCTCGAGACATGGAGGCAGCTTGCATTATGTTAGGTTGTTTGACAGTGATGGTTGGGGGCGGGTGGCATGTCCTGGATTGGCCCGCAGTCGGGTGGGGGATGTGGTGTTGATTCATAAGGAGCAGTGGTGAACCCCTCCCCAAAGGGGAAGGCGGGGGTTGGAAGAGAAAACTCTCTAAACCATTTTCGCCCTAAAGGGCTGGTGAGTTTTGTCGCATCCCCCATCAGTCATCACTAAACCAGGTCTCACCCCAGACACCCGCTGTCACGGTTGTTTCGGGACGCGGGCCCCCAACCTCTCGACCACTTCGCCAGAACCAGTTTTTCATCCCGAGTCGTTCTGTTGACGGTCCCAGGGCCGAGTGAGGGCCCCGAGTAGCCCAAATCACTGGAAAACCTATGTTTCGATTTGTTCGGGTCGCTGGATGCCGGGGACTAAACCCAGTCTTGCCTAAGCCCGCGCCTGGGCGAGCCTGGGCGAGAAGGTCCACGATGTCTCGAGCCCCGAGCTGGGGATAGGGGATGTCTCGCGGTCCCTGGTGGTGGTGGTGTCGCTTCTCCTTGTTCCCACGGGGGAGTCGCCCCCCAGCACACACCACCAAACTGGGTCCCAACAAGCCACTGAGCCCAGCCTCGCCTATGCCTCCCTCGCCCCCTCCCGCCTCCCTCGCCCCCTCCCTCGCCCCCTCCCCCCTCCTCGGCCCTCGGCCTATGGGCAGCCTCCCCGTAGGAGGAGGTACCTCTGTGGCCGTGCAGCTCTCCTCCTGATCTTCTTCCATTCGTGCGAGCTATCGACTCGAGTGCTCGTCCGAGGCCTGGTTCCCTGGTTCCCTCCCTCGCCCCCGTCCTCGCATTCTCCCTCGCCTCCTCCCTCGCCCCCTCCCGCCCCTCGCCCCCTCCCAGGCGGTGCTCCCTCCCTCGCCTCCCTCCCGCCTCCCTCGCCCCCTCCTCCGCCCCCGTCCTCGCATCCTCCCTCGCCTCCTCCTCCGCCCCCTCCCGCCCCTCGCCCCCTCCCAGGCGGGGCTCCCTCCCTCGCCCCCCTCCCGCCTCCCGGGCGCAGGCAGGGGCCTCCGGCCTGCAGCCGCCGCGGGGCAGCGCCAGCGCCGCCTCGCTGGTGCAGTTCTCCTCTGAGGAGGCCTCTGGGGGCGCGGCCTGGCGGGAGGAGGGAGGAGGAAGAGGAGGAGGAGGAGGAGGAGGAGGAGGAAGAGCAGGAGGAGGAGGAGGAGGAGGAGGAGGAGGAGGAGGAGGAGGAGGGGGAGGAGGAGGAGGAGGAGGAGGAGGAGGAGGAGGAGGAGGACTCACTGGATTAGCCGCTGCTGAAGGCCGAGGCTCCATGAAATCAATGGCTTCACGAACCGACTTCGGACCCCCGTCCGACGAGACAAATTACAGGCGTTGCCGCTAATCTCTTGAAGGTTTGTTACAGCTCCAGACCCCCGTCTGGAGATCGGCCCGTCTTGGCGGTCGCTGCCCTGCCACAGCCGATGAGGTCAGCTGGCGCTTCTGCATGGCCACCACCCTGAAAGACGTACCTAATAATAATAGATGCGTTCAGATGCGATCCCGCCCAGGCGCAGGCGAGAAGCCCATCGTATATAATGTTCTGCAACGGCGACAGTACACACATACATATAATACACAATCATATGCATGTGTTTCGATACGCATGTATATGTGTATGTATGTATGTACGTATGTATGTATGCATGCATGCATGCATGCATGCATGCATGCATGCATGTATGTACGTATGTATGTATATATATATATATATATATATATGTATGTATGTATGTATGTATATGTATGCATGTATGTATGTATGTATGCATGTATGTATGTATGTATGCATGCATGTATGTCTGTGTGTATGTATGTATGTATGCATGCACGTATGGATGCATTCATGTATGTATGTATGTATGTATGTATGTATGTATGTATGTATGTATGTATGTATGTATGTATGTGTATTGATGTATGTGTATGTGTGTCTGCATGCGTGTGTACATATACATATATATATATATAGTATTGTTTGATGCGCGTCCCCAGCCTGCGCGGGAGCGCCTCCGTATCTAAACAACGTATTTCGTGGTACAAATTGGGACCGTATCTATTCTTCTTCAAGAAGCATACATATATACACACATGTCCGTATCTACTGTTCAAAGAATAGCAGTGCCGCGCCGTAGCTATTTGTATCTCAGTATTGTCAGAACTAACGTTATTGGCCGTGCTCTCGGCGCGAGAAGGATCCATCATATTGGTCGAAGCAATGAACAGCAGGATGGGGATAGTGGGAAACCGTATCGATGAGGAGTAAGGAGACGAGCGACGACGACGAGAGTAGGATGGATAACAACGACGAAACGAAATTTAGGAGAGAACTGGGTCGGAACAAGGAACCGAAGGAAGGGGAGAGCAAATCGGAGCAGGCGGAGGAGGAAGAGGAGGAGTGATTCGGACGATGAGCGCGGACGAGGAGGAGGAGGATGAGGTCGCGCGGCGAGGAGGCAAAAGGAGCGAGGTGGTGTTGGAGGGAGCGTCAGAAGGATAACGTGGATGAGGGGGGGTCAGGACGGGGATGAAGTCAATCAGCGATTGAAACATGTCTCTTCTGCTTCGTCCTCCTCGTCCTCATGATCGTTCGGCTCGCCCGCCGTCCATGGTTTTCCACTTCACTTCCTCATCCTCCTCCTCCTCCTTCCTCCTCATCAGCATCGTCGTCCTGACTGGCATGTGTATGTTCTTCCCTGTTCGTTGTCATAGAGCGGCCTAGGCCTGGCAGTGGAGACATGGCGTCGCATCTATTCGTAACTTTTTTTGGTAGACATGTTTCCCAACAGTGGGTGCCATATTGAACCGTATCTAAACATATCTAAACATATATATTCGCATCTAATCCGTGCCCTGCCACTGGAGCTTTCGGTGAAGTTCACTATGGGGCCACGAAATGTGTGAGGGTGTGCCGGATTGGACCGAGTACGCATGCGAACCCTGCCACTGGCGCCTTCGGCAAATCTCCCTATGGGGCCACGAGATTCGGGAGAGAAAAAAGCGGTAAGCATAAATGTGTAAAAGGTCTTTCCGCCATCGCACCGCACCCTTGGGCGGGGCGGTAGTCTGGGGTCGTCCATTATTTGTGTTTCACTTGCTGTTTTGTTGCGCGCAGCCTAGCTTGTGCCGATGTTATCCGGGCGAGTTGGGGCCGTGAGTTGCCTCCAGGCTGCGCTCGCTGGACGCGCCCCTTTGCATCTAGTGAGGGCGCGCAGAAGTTGTTTGCGCACGGTGCCCAGTCGCGTCGCCCTCTCACACGGGCTTAAGCAGCCTAAGGCTCATGCAGAGCGCAGCATGAACTGCTCGCAGGGCTTGTCGGCCTCGTAGGGCTCATGTGGCCCACCTGCTTCGCGGGGTTCACGGGGCCGATCGGCCTCATTGGGAGGAGGAGCAACAGGAGGAGGAGGAAGAGGAGCAGGAGGAGGAGGAGGATGGACTTGACCTTTTCCCGAAGTTCACTTCTCCTATGGCCGAGGGGCAACAATGCGATCGACCGCTTTCTGATCCCCGTGCGTGTCTGCACTTCCTCCTACCTCGACCTCCGACGTAGTGATTTGTTCAGTGCCGGCGTTCTTTCCACAGGGATTTCTTCAGAGAACGCATTGTTTTCCACTCACATTGTACCGCGCCCAGTAGAGGGCACACTTCAACCTTCTTCGCGCCGTCCACGATGCCCATTATTTGAAAATTATTCACCCTCGAGACTGCGAAATCTACATCGCCTTAAGAGCGAACGCGCGGCCTTTACGAGGAGGGTGGAAAAAAGTTTATGCTCAAGTGTCTCACTGTTTTCTGTTCCTCTTTGGAGACGTGTGTGCGGGGGGGGGCTGAAGTGAACCCGAGTACGCGTGCGAACATTGCCACTGGAGCCTTCGGTGAAGTTCCCTACGGGGCCACGAAATGTGTGAGACGGGTGCCAAAGTGGATTCGGAAACGCATGCGAACCCTGCCTTTGGAACCTTCGTCCTAGCTTCCCATGGGGCCACGAAGCGTGTGAGGGGCGTGCCGAAGTGGACCCGGGTACGCATTCGAACCCTGCCTCTGGAGCCTTCGGCGGAGCCCCTTATGTGGCCACGGAACGAGTGAGGGGAGTTCCAGAATGACAAGGATGAAGAGGAAGAGGAGAGGAGGGAGGGGGAAGGAGGAGACGAGGCGGGAGACGCGGGGCGTTGCGCATTCAAAACGAGGACCCAACACACAGGAGTGTTGGGAAAAACGAATCGGCGGAACTCTGGGCTTCTCATCTCTCCTCGTCCCCTCCCTCTTTTAGGCGCGCCGCGAGGCGAGCATCACCCGAAGCGTCAGATAATCGTTCTCCTCCTCCTCCTCCTCCTCCGCGCGGCCCGCGGCCCCTGGCGATGGAGCAGAGGCCCCGGGCTGCGCCCCCCTGCCCGGGCCCCCCGCTCGCAGGCTGCCGGGGACGCGCTGGCGCACCTGATCGCCGAAGAAGCCTCGTGGGATGTGCCACAGCTGGCGGGGCCGGGTCGGGCAGCCCGAGGTCGTCGCCGTCGCCGTTGCCGTCGCCGTCGCCGTCGCCATCGCCGTCGCTGTCGCCGTCGCCGTCGTCATCATTGTCGTCGTCGTCGTCGTCGTCGTCGTCGTCGTCGTCGTCGCCGCTTCTGACGTTCAGCGCACCTAGACCGAGTGGGATCGCAGCGTCAGGTTGGTATTACAAACAACTGCATGGCATTGAAACCGGCTTAGGCGACGTGGCCAATCCATTAAATTGCAAGCAAGTGCGGACATGATTATGTGCAACTATACCTGAAAGAGCAGATGGGGTGTTCGCAAGTGCGTGGAGTAATTCAACAAGCGCAGCCTGTGAAGAAGTAGGGGGTACGTAGCACCCCGCAATTGCGGATAAGAGTGAGGGGGCGGGCGCGGGCGACGCGGGCGTCGTCGAGCCGGCGGACCTCGTGGCCCCCACCTTCCTTGTCGATGGCGCTCTCCTCCACCTCCTCCTCCTCCTTCTCCTCCTCTTCCTCCTCCTTCTCCTCCTCCTCTTCCTCGTCCTCATCGTCATCGTCATCCTCCTCCTCCACCTCGTCCTCCTCCTCCTCCTCTTCTTCCTCGTCCTCCCTCTCCCCCCCTCGTCTTTTCATCATGGTCCTCCCATTGTCGTCCTCCCCCTCATCGGCCTCCATCATCGTCCTCCCATTGTCGTCCATCATCATCATCCTCCCCATCCTCCCCCTCCTCGTCCTCCTCCTCCCCCTCCTCCCCCTCGTCCTCCTGCTCCTCCTCCTTTTCTTTCTCCACGTTCTCCTTACATCCTCTCTTCTTCCACGTTCTCCTCGTCCCCTGTTTACTCATCCTGCCTCCCCCTCCTTTCCCAAGATAACTGCAACGCAATCCTTTTTTCCACTTTATGCTCCCCGCCTTCTCTGATCAAGGCAACTCGCCAGGGCAAAGTTGCTGGACGGGCTGGCGTGGATGTGCGGGGCGTGAAGAGGTCCTTGCGGGCTCAGACGGCATGCAAGAATCCGCCGCCGCGCTTGTGCGGCATTGGTTTGTTCAGTGAATGTGGTTTAGGTCGCGGGTGGGTCGCGGGCTCTCCACCTCCACCTGGAAGGAATGCAAAAACAGCCCGCCGCAAGCGCCAAAAAAATTGGTTCGTACACGGAACGAGGTTTGGGTCGCGGGTGGGCCGCGGGTTCTCCACAGGGAACGAATGCAAAGGATGCCCGCCGCAGGCGCCGAAAATGTGGTTTGTACCCTGAACGTGGTCGCGGGTGGGCCGCGGGCTCTCCACCTGAAACGAATGCAAAATATGCCCGCCGCAGGCGCCGAAAAATGTGGTTTGTACCCTAACGTGGTTTGGGCCGCGGGTTGGTCGCGAGTTGGTCACGGGATGTGTCGCGGGCTCTCCACCTGGAAGGAGGAAGGAATGCAAAAAAACCCGCCGCAGGCGCCGAAATTGTGGTTTGTACCTTGAACGAGGTTTGGGTCGAAGGTGGGTCGCGGGTGGGTCGCGGGGTAGGTCGCGGGTGGGTCGCGGGTGGGTCGCGGGTGGGTCGCGGGTGGGTCGCGGGTGGGTCGCGGGGTGGGCCGCGGGGGGGTCGCGGGGTGGGTCGCGGGGTGGGTCGCGGGGTGGGTCGCGGGGTGGGTCGCGGGGTGGGTCGCGGGGTGGGTCGCGGGTGGGTCGCGGGTGGGTCGCGGGTGGGTCGCGGGGTGGGTCGCGGGGTGGGTCGCGGGTGGGTCGCGGGGCGGGTTGCGGGTGGGACGACGACACGACAACAACAACAACAACAACAACAACAACAACAACAACAACAACAAGAATCCGCACCGCGGAATTCCACATCAGCCACGCACCCAGGGACAGTGAATGACCGTTCGGCCCCCTCACTCTGACACAATCATAACGATAACCTTACATATTAAGGAGGACGCCGACAGGGTGTGAGTCTGACTACTGAAAATGTTACGGGTGGCAGCTTATTCTTGTCGTCCTCGTCCTCGCCCGTCCCCAGTTTCCGACGACATGTTTTCCAACCCCGACGTTTTTCCACGAATTTAGCTTGCCCTCGGAGGCCTTTTCGGAAATGTTCTAAGGCCCTGTCCAGACTGTGCCCCGTTCAGAGCTCCAGGTTTTCGCTTTCTTCTTAGAAGAGACCTCGGGGCCTGCTGTTTTTGGAACTGATCATAGGCCCTGATGGGTGGGCTGGAGGCGGGGTCGACCGTGGAGCTAGGGGGAGGAACAACGATTTGTGGCGTCGAATTCGGTGCGCCCTCGACGCTCGAGGTCCTGGCTCGGTCGATGTCGAGTGCACCCCGTCTCACATTTCTCCGAGCGTGATGTATTTCTGGCCAGCGGGAGTCAGCTGGCCGACGAGGCTGCAGGCGAGGCAGCGTCACGTTCGTGGGCCCTTTCAGTAAAGCATGACCCACCCACGGATGCCTGGGACGTCGCGGCGGCTCTAGTTAATTCGGCGCAGAGGTCACAGGGTGTTAGCTGACGCCGCTCAGGCGGACCCAAAGCGGTCCACAGGGCCCCCTGAAGAGCGTTCCAGGCCAGGCACGCGTTTGGAGTGGGCTGCCAGAAGCAGTGCTCATAGGTTCCAGACCATCGGTTCCGCTTTCACTTGCCTCAGCTGCGGGCTCGTGTCTCAGAAGCGAGGCCTTTGGGAGGCCTTGCTTTCCGAATGTTTTTCGCCCGAGGTCGATCTCGTCGGTTTTCCTCGGGACGTGGTCCTGGCGGCCAGGGGCCCTGAGGATGTTAGTTGGTACGCTCTCGACCCAACCCATAGGCTGGCCTTTTGGGACCTTCACTCGCTTTATTGTTGTGCTCGGCGCGGTCGCACCGCGGCTTCTCACCGCCGCCAGTTGAAAAGTGGCCGATCTCGGTCGAATTCGCAAGGGCCCGCACCCCAGCTGCTCGGGCTCGCCTCGCGCGAGTCGGGACCTCGCACACGCCCGAGCTGTGTCGGCCGCCGCTTCGGAGGCAACGTTGGCTGCTCATCGGGAGCGAGACCCGCCACCCTCCCCGCCTTTTGTGGCACCCCTCTCCGCCCCCTCGGGGGCTGAGGTGGCCAGGGGGCTCCCTGACGGGAACCTCGGGGTGGTGGCCCGTTCTCTCCTCTTCCGTTTCCTTGCCACCTCGCACGCCGTGCTTCGCAACACGTCCAAAAGCGTCCAAGATTCTGGCCTTCGGGGCCCACGATCGGGCCTCTGGGACCATCACGAACGGATTCGGACCGAAAACTTACCTCCAGGGAAGAGCTCAGCTCTGGCACCGCCGATTGACAAAACACATCGGAGGAACTATGGGGTCGCAGTCGTCGTCGTTGTCGCCCTCGCCCCCGCCCTCGCCTGCGTCCTCCGCTCCATGTATCTCCCTTCCCTGGAGGTTCGAGGTTTGCGGGGTTTGCGTAGGTTCCTTGAGGCTCTCCAGCCTCGGGGTTGTCGTCGTCGTCGTCATTCTCCTCCTAGTCCTCGTCCTCGCCCATATCTTGTGTGTTTCCAGTGATGTCACCAGGATGTCAGGGGAAACCCAGACGGCCTCCCAGGGCAACGCTCACGAGGCCCCGAGGGCCCCAGCGGCCCCCCAAATGGCGAGAAAAGCTGGGGACACCATGAGCCAGGGACACTGTTGGCACCCCTCCGAGTTTTCTTTTTTCTATACCCCCCTCCCCTGGAGGTTCGAGGTTCACGGCGTCTGCGCAGGTTCCCTGAGGTTCTTCAGCTTCGGGGATTAATTCCAGCAGATGCGCTTCGCCGAGGGCGCGCTGGGGGCGCGCTGGGGGTGTCGAGGGCGTCCCGAGCGGCCGAGGTATCATCCGAAAGCCAGACCGACGTCGTCGTGCCTTGATCGGCTAATCTCGACGGAGGGCTGCTTGCCGCCGTCGGCCTGGGGGGGGGCCCTGCCTGGCCCCGGGAGGACGACGCGGGAGGAGCATGCGGTTCCGGGGGAGGGCTTCCCGTTCTTTAGGGGTCCAGGGTCGAACAAACAACACGACATGGGGAGTCCATGAGTCTTCGTCCTCGTCCTCGTCCTCGACCTACCGTGGGACCATCCATAACCCGAGTGGTTCGACAAAGCCCTTTGAGACGGCGCTCGAGCTCTTGCGCTGCCAGGGGGCGCTTGTCAGCTGTGCCGAGACGCGCTGCCGCGCCGTCCTCGATCTCGTCCTCGTCATCGTATTCGCCCCTGTCGTCCTCATCCACCACCTCCGCCTCCTCCTCGTCCTCCACTTCCGCCTGATCCGCTTCTTCTGCCTGGCTCGCCGATATTGGTCGGCCCACTTCTACCATTGGCTGGCTGTGCCGGGCTACGGGCCCAACGGCGCCGCCCTCCTGGGCAGAACGCCGCCCTCCTGGGCAGAACTCATCGCTCCTCCTTACTTACCCATCCATGAAGGGGAATCCTGAAGGGTGACCCACGACATGCGCAAGAGGGTGGAGGAGGAGAAAGGATGGAGCGGGCTGCCCGCTCTCTGGCCGCACAGGCGGCGGGCCCTCGGCCCGGCCGGCGGCCCCAGCAGCAGCGGCTGCCCCTGCCTCGGGGTACGGGGCGCGGACGTACCCGTAGGTCACCCGGCCGGGGTGGATGGACGGGACCCGCGAACGCTGGCGCGGCGGGCGTGCTCCTTCTTTTGGCGTGCCCCAGTGAGCATAACGGCACCACCATTGAAGACTCCATGGCTGCAAACGTGAAGCTCGGAAAAGATCAGGGTTTGTGTCTCCACAAAATCATTTGCAAACGGCCAATTCCGAGTGTGGCAGGGGCTCCTTGCAATATTGTAGTTCCGACTAAGGACTTACGAAAGATTCGGGACGCGCAAAAAGACGCCGGGCACTTGCGGGCAGCTCTGCCAGCCTTGGCTGTGCCTCCTGCAGCGCAGCAGCCACCAGGAGGCCCAGGTCGGAAGGACGTCCTCCTTCGGCTCGGGCCTGCGCAAACGCCCGGTGGCCACGGGGGTCGCGAGCACCACCCCCCGTCACTGCTGCACCTCGACCTGTCCAGCAGGTGCGGACATCTGATGGTCAGAACTGCAGAGTGTGCTTTCCGCCCACCACCAAAAGCACAGCCATGAAACTCCACAATGTTGGCCGCAGTCAGCGCTGCCAGCTCCCTCGTCATGTCCAACTTCCAGATGGTGGTTGCATCAGGTTGCCACCAGGCCTTCGCAGAATGAATGTCCAGTGAGGTCGATCCAGAATCGCGCGCTGCTGCAGAAAACATCACGGCACACCTGATGAGAAGGTTCTCTCTTGCTAGAGACTGGGCATCTTTGGGCGACAAGTTGGCTGCACCCCACTCAAGCCCAGATTTGCGCAGCACTCTCTGACCAGAGCCAAACGCTGCCATGCCCCAAGACCACCTCGCAGGCGCCGCCACCACCGCAACAATACGACTGCATAAGATCACGTCTGTCCAGGTTCCTCAAATTCGTTAGCTACGACATCCAAATGCAGCAAAGTGACATTGTCAGGATTGAATGCAACACTAATGACACCAGCAAATCCGTCGTCCTCAGCGGGGCCCCATTGACAGGTACAGAACATACGCCATCTGTGACGCGGGAGCTGGCGGCAATATCTTGTATGTCTTGGCCGGAGTGGATGAGCATAGCGTGACCACTGGCGGCATCATCCTAAACTTTTCAGCCCTCGGGAATCGCATGACCCCCCAGGCACAGCCACGTCAAGGGCAGCATCTGGAGAATACCCTGCAGCTGCACGCTACCTCCCAAGGGCGAGGTCCTGCTCACGTAGCTCCCGCGCCTCAGCAACTTCCAAGGGGGGGGGGACGTCAGTGTCGATCAGCAACTTCAAGCAATTCGAGCCTGGACGCCTTAGGTGCTTGATGAGACCAAGGCGCACGTGAAAATCGGCACCGCGAGCCTGACACTGGGAACCTCTCGCGTGCAACTATACAAGGTTAATGAGCTGGTGCGCCCGTCTCCAGTGGCCTCTGTAATCCGACAAGTCGAGAACGACTTAAGACAATCGCTCCTCCTGCTCCTCCTTCTCCTTCAGCCGCTGTGCCTGCAATTAACGCGTGCAGCCTGAGCGGGGTCGGGCGCTGCATCGAAGGGGGTCCCTCGCTGCTGCAGGCGCGTCGTCGCGTTGTCGAATCCGCAGCCCTGCCCGCCGAAGAGGAGCGCCGCGTCGTCGGCGTCCTCCTCCTCCTCCTCCTCCTCCTCCTCCTCCTCCTCCTTCTCCCCCTCCCCCTCCTCCCTCCTTCCTCAGACCCTGGCGTCGCAATTTTTCGAGCCAGGCGTTTTCGCAGAATTCCGGGCCCCCAGGCCCTCACCAGTCGAGCTGGCTCAAATAATTCCGCAGAAAGGTGAGGTGCAGGGCTCTGGTCGTGATCTTTCATGATGTTGCATTTTTTCTCGCGTGGTTGGATCTCAGGGTTCGACCTCTCTTCATAACTCCCACCTCCTTCTTGTTCTCTCTTCCTTCTCCTGCTGCTGCTCCTTTTCCTGCTTCGCCTCCGCAGCCGCCCTGGAGCAATATGCCCCCTTGGGCAGCACGTCCGCCTCAGCTCGGACAGCCATGGAACCCGCACGGCCAGTGAACCTTCTAGACCACCCCCGCCGCGTGTGCGCACAGAATGCGCGCTGACTCGATCTGTCGGACCTCGCCTCACCTGTCGAGTACAATGAGTGTCAGAGGATGCTCTGGGCCGGGCAGCGGCCCGCCGACGCAGAGAAGTGCGCAGAGAGACCAGCCTACCGGGCGGCGCCATTGCGCACAGGGGTTCCTTTTCAGGGCCGCCTGCGATCCGATTCGTTGTGGTTCGATTTGCCGATAGGGGCCGCGATTCTGGTTCGATTCGATTCGGCTCGATTCACCAGCGTCGGCCAGGGCCATCCGACGCCGGGCGCGGCGACTCTAGACCGACTCGATCCGGGACGCTTCGCTGGCGATCCGATCCGTTTCTGACCCGATCCGATTTCGCGGCTCGATCCGGCGCAGGCTCGCCCTCTCTCAAGCAGTGGCGAAGCGTCCTGGCTGGCCGATTGCCCTACCAAAGAATGTTCCAAAAGCTGGTTGTGGCTTCCGCGGGGTGTTCTTAGACACATTCTGGCGGAGTCCGTCTTGGTTTAACACCTCGGATTCTATGTTCTATGAACATTGTCGATGTTCTTAGAGCATCGAGCATGGTCTATGCTCTTGGAACATTTTGGGGTTCTAAGAACATGTCATGGCAGGACTATAGGAATGCCGGGACGGTGGGCCCTTGCTCGCTTTCCTCCGGCTCTCTGCCGCCGCCTTTCTCTCTCTTGGCTCCCGTCTCCCGTTCGCTGCGGTGGGCGCGGCTCCTGCGCCGTGCAGCTCGTGCCCGCTGCCGCGCCGGGGCGTCGCATCTCTCCGCAGTGGCCGACGAGGACAACGGCGCAGAGGCAGGGGAGGAGGAGGAGGAGGAGGAGGAGGAGGAGGAGGGGGAGGAGGAGGGGGAGGAGGAGGAGGAGGAGGAGGGGGAGGAGGAGGAAGAGGGAGGGGAGGAGGAGGAGGAGGAGGAGTTGGAGGTGGAGGAGGAGGAGGAGGAGTTGGAGGAGGAGGAGTTGGAGGAGGAGGAGGAGGAGGAGGAGGAGGAGGGGGAGCATGGGGAGGACAAGCATGCCTGGCTGATAGTGATCCTGTGCGTCGAGTCGTTCGTGCTCTTCGTGACGATCGGCCTGCCGATAGCACTGTGGGCGCTCGCGACCTTCCTCGGCAGGTCTGGGCGGGTGTCTGAGGGGGTGCTCTGTCATGCTCCTCCCACGTGCCTCCGCCATCTTCATGACACGCTCCCACTCTCGAAGATGAGACAACGACAGGAAGATACTCGTTCGAAGCTCCGCGCGGATTTCTTGGATCGGCGCTGGACTCCCCTCCCTGGCGTGTGCGGAGCGTGCCAGGGTTGCGCCAGGGAGGGGGTCCACCGCCGATCCAAGAAATCCGCGCGGTTGATTGTCATGATGTGTTCTCTTCTTCTTCTTCTTATTATCTTCACTCTCCGTCTGGCAACGTTATTCTTTTCGGCGGAGGTGTCAACTCGGCGCTTCCTTCACCTGGCCTCCAGCCGTAGAAGTACTTCCCAGTCGGTCGATCTGTCAGTCCGTCTGTCCGGTCGTCTGTCCATGTGTCTGCATTTCTCTTCATGTTTGTGCGCGGGTTCAGTTCCCACTGTCGTTTATGCTCAGTGTTTGAATTCTCTTCTGCTTTTCCCCCTCCTCCTCCTCCTCTTCCTGTTCCTTCGGCTGCCACTCGCTTTGGAGTGGGGTTTGCTTCTTGGACACAGCCTAATACTTGCCCGTCTAGTTGTATGTTTCACGCGGGATACGTATCATTCGGATTGTTGTATCTTTTCCTCCTCCTCGTCCTCCTCCTAGCCGGCTGGCGAGTTTCACGGACCATTCGCACGAAGTCCGAGCCATTGCCGTTTTGCCAGATCACTTCAGGTCTACATTGTTCGATACATGGTTGTGAAGACGCCTACGGCGAATCACCGCCGCCCCTTGCCTTTTGGAATCGCCCATGTGGCCGAGCGCTGTGGCAAGTGCTCTGCCAAGGTATCGGACCAGGCGTTCCCCCAGCCGTGTTTGAAACCATTGGGGAACTGTTGGGGGAGGATGGCGGGAAATATCAGGAGGAGGAGTAGGGGGCATCTTAGGAGCCTCTGGGGGCACTCTTAGGGCCTCCTGGGAGCTTCCTCAGAGCCTCTTGGAGGCATCTTTGGGGCTTCCTTGGGCCTCTTGAGAGCGTTTGGGGGCTCTTCGGGGGCCTCTTTGCCCATCTTAGGGCGTTCCTGGCCCGTCTGACGCCGTCGGAAACCGTCCCGGGGGCCTCTCTGGACCGACTTGGGGCCCTCTTGGGGTGCTCCAGGGCCGTCTTGGAGGCCATCTGGGCCGTCTTGGAGGCCTCTTGGGCCGTCTTGGGGCCGTCTTGAGGGGCCTCTTGGGCCGTTCTGGGGCCATTTGGGATGCCTTTTGCGCGATCTTGAGGCGATCGTCGGGGACTCGGGCCGCCTCGGGCAGTCGGAAGGCCGAAAAGATACGAGTGCTAAAATCTTTGGAACCCTACTGGATATCGATGATTTGGGCCTCTTCGGGCCTTCCTGGAGGCCCTCTTGGAGGCCTCTTGGGCCGTCGTGGAGGTCTCTTGGGGGCCTCTTGGGCCGTCTTGGCCAGTCTTGGAGGCTTCTTGGGCGGACTTGGAGGTATCCTGGATCCTCTTGGGCCGTCTTGGAGGCCACCTTGAACCTTCTTGGGCGAAGTTGGAAGCCATGTTACCCTCTTGGAGGCCATCTTGAGCCGTCATGGGGGATTGTTTCCAGACGTTAAGGTTGTTTGCTGTCCCTTCCAGGTGGCCAGCGCGCTGGGCCGAAGCCCCACAGGGGAGCTCTTCTGGAGAAAGAGCCCAAGCCAAGCCGTACAGGATTCCGCACGCCAGGCACCTTTGTGATACATCACTACCTCGTGATTACCAGGCACCGCCAAAATATAACTTTTCACATTAATTTGGGTGTGTGGACTTTTCGTAGGCTGCGCAGACGCGATGGCGCGCTCGGCGTCGACGCGCACGCGCGCGATTGTCGAGCTCGTGTGACTTGCATGTCGGTGCGCTGTCACGTGCACGGCGGGGTAGTGCATTTCCCTCGCTCCACGTTGATCGCGGAGGGGAATCATGACACATTTTTGTTTGGGGCGGCGCTCCCCACACCTGACATTCAGATTGCCCATGTCTCAAATTCAGATTGGCCCTGTCTGAAATGCATCTATGGCCCCCCTCGAGGACTCGGTCGAGGCGTTCTGCCTGAGATTCCCGCGCATAAATTAACTATTCATATTTGGCCCGGTCTGAAATCCAGATTGGCCCAGTCTGAAATTCAGATTGACCCGGTCTGAATTTCAGATTGCCCTGAGCTGAATTTCAGATGTGGTGGCTCCGCGTGGCTCCGCGTGGAAGAAGTCTTCGGTTTGGACGAATGTGGTCGATGTTTGCTCTCCTGCATGGTTGCAACATGGGACATGAGAGTGCTTTTGCGGTTCTGTTAGGGTTGCTGGCACTGGGAGCCTCGATGTTCCCTTGGATGTGGCGCGCCTTGCGGATGCGAAAAAATGAGAAGTCGATGTTTCCTGGTTGGGGGTGTCTGGTGATAACCACGCAGTCAAACCGGGGGCAGCAGATAGAATGGCCTTCGGCCCATCCCTCCACCCTGTCTGGGTTGTGGGCCTGAGGACTCTTGGATGGTCGTCGGTATCTTGTCGAGGTCTCTCGGGGGCCTCCTGGAGGAAGTTTTGAGGCTTCTGGGGGCTGTTTCGGGGGCCTCTTGGGGTTTCCTTTTGGCCGTCTTGGAGGCTGGGGCCTCGTAGGAGACTCTTGGGAGCCTCTTGGAGCCTCTTGGGTGCCTTTTGGGTGCCTTTTGGGGCCTCCTGGGCGCCTCGGGCGGAGGGCCTTTTCGATTCGTGTTCCCCCCTCTTGGGGCCCTCTTGGGGCCGTCTTGGGGCGCATCTTGTGCCGTCCTGGGGCCCTTCTGGGTCGTCTCAGGGGCCCTCTAGGGGGCTTCTGTGGCCGTTTTGGGGCGGTTTGGGGGGCCTCTCGGGATGCGCTGGAGCGTTCGAAGGTAGAACAGTGGAGGACCCCAACACACATTGAGACAACGGAGGAAAACCGATCATTCTAGACTCGGGGCCCGCTCGGGGAAGCTCTTGGGGCTCTCCCTGGGCGTCTCGAAGGCTTGCCTGGGCCGTCTTGGGGCCGTTGTGGGCGTCTTGGAGGTTTCTGTTGGGGCCCCCTGCTGGGGGCCCCCGAGACGGCCCCCGGGGCTGTTTGATGGGCCCTGCTGGGGGCCTCTTGGGGCCCTCGTCGCCCGTTTCGGGGCCCCGTGGGGCGGGGGCCCGCCGCCCCGGAGGGCCCTGCGACGCGCCCCGCGGCGGCGCCCAGTGGCGCCTGGGGGAGACCGGGGGTCCGGGCCCCTGCGAGCTTCGGGAGCCGCGAGACGGGGGCCACTGCAGGCGGGGGTCAATGCAGGCGGGAGTTCGGCTTGACCCGGGCCAGGAGATCCCCGAGAGCCCTTTCGCCCCTCAGGGTGGCATGGGCCTTGGGGCGCTCCACTGCGTGCTGAAGGCACGGGTGCGGATATTCGTCGGCTGGACGTGAGAGTGACCTGTCGCCGGAGTGGCCTTTGGTGCGGGCACGGAGGGGCCCTCGGATGGCTGAAAGCGAAGCGGTAGCAGCGGCTTGCGCGCCCAGGTTTGGGCTCCCCGCGGCCCCCAAAAAGCCGCGCACCAAAGGTGACTCTTACCCAGGGTCACCCTTGCGTGTAGCCAAATTCATGCTTGTCTAATTCTTCAACGTGTATGTGCCAATACCGCGTGTTTACCGCTCCGTGTGTCTTTCAGCCTCTCTGTCGTCCGTGATTCCGCCATTTAGTACAATCGGTTTACTCCAGATGAGCTGTATAGTTATGTTTATTTACGTGTTGATGCATATCTCTACTGTGTATACACCTGGTGGCATTCGGCCCAGCCCGCCATCATGCGTTGGTTGTGGACCAGGGGACTTCTGAATACCCATTGGGGTCTCTTGGCCCTACGATCAGATGCGAGCCCATTCTTGCATGGCGTCATTGCGCATCATTGCGCAGCTGATCCGATTCCATTCCGACGCCGTGCCGATGCAGCCCGATTCGAAGATCGTTCCGATTCGATCCAAATCTGAGGTTCGATGTTGGCGCATCTTGGCGCATACACCGATGCACGTAATTATCTCGGCGAGGCGCCAAGGGGAGAAGTGAGACGGGGCACTCCTTCTTAGAAGGCGGCGGGGCTCCTCAGAAGTCCCCCAGAGAAACCGTTCGTTTCTTTGGAGACGGCTTGGGAAGTTGTTCAGAATGCCAGAGGCCCAGAGGCCTTCTGAGGAGGCCCGCCCCCTCTGCCTCCCCTTGTGCGGTCCTTCATGGGAGCCTCAGGGGCTCCCAAAATTCCTGGTGGTTTGGCGGACTTCGTCCAGAGTTGGTGGGCACGCGGGGGCGCAGCCTGGCCGAAGAGAGCGGACGGCGGGCGGACGACGGGCGGCCGAGGCCGAAGCCTGGGCGAGATCCGGCCGGAACCGCGCTCGTGATGGGGCCGCGGAGGTCCACCACGGCTCCCCTGAAGGCTCACTCGGCCTCCCCTCTGGGCGGTCCGCCGAGCACCTGTTCGCGCCCGGCTGCCCTCTCCGGCTGGCCGTGGCCGGCGTCGCCCTGCAGCGCCTGGCTGCCCTCTGTCGTCGTCCGGGGCGCGCCCTGCTCGACGGCGGAGTGGCGCTAGAGGGGGGTCCTCTTGTCCATCTCCTCTGCCTCCTCTTCCTTTTCTCCCTCCTCCTCCTCCTCCTCCTCCTCCTCCTCGTCCTCCTCCTCGTCGTCCTCATCCTCCTCATCCCTCCCGCCTTCTCCACGGCTCCCCCGCTTCTATTGCTCCTCTGCATCCCTCTCTGCTCCCTGCTCCCCCCCGCTCCTGCTCGATGTCCCCTCCTTCCTCCTCTGCCGTCCTCGTTCTCCTCCCCCTCCTCCTCCTCGTCCTCCTCCCTCTCCTTCGTTCTCGTTTTGTTTTGTGAGGATCCTTGCAGCCGAAGGGCGGATTCCTACCATTGCCGAAACTTGGTTTTTCGCTGGTCGTCTGCCTTGGCACGGCAGCGGGCCAGGTCGATCAAATTCGGGATCGAGACGTGCGACAGGCTGTTCATAGGCACCGATGTCACCATCAAGAGGCTGGAGACGAACATTTTCCAGGGCGCGCGGCCGCGCGCTCCTGCGGCCAGGAGAGACAGGATGATGAGGAAGGCGAGGTGTGTGTTGTCCCCCACCCAGCATGCTGGGGTTGTTTGATTCAAAACGCTCCCGGCCCGCCTCGCGCACCTCTCTTTTCGGGCCGGACGTAAGGGGGGGATTGGGAAAGGGGGGGGGTTACGAAGTCTGCTGCATGCAGCCGGTTTCGGCCCCACCGAGGGGCCCATTCCTCGATACACGGCCGCCTCCGGCGCCGGGAGGTGCCTGGAAATTCAGCCTCGTGAGCTGATTCTCGGGGGCGGAAAAGAGGTGGGTGATGACTAGGAGGGGGTGGATATCATGGCGGGGGCCAGATTTCATGGCGCCTCTTCTTACTTCATGACGTCCCTGGCCCCCCCGCTGGGCCGCGCACGTGCCGCCGGTCATGATTTGCACCCCCCCCCTCTTGGACACCCCCCTCTTGGCCGCTCCCGAGATTCTCAATCCCTCCCTCTGCTATCTCCCACCCTTTCGCCCGGCCCGATCTCTCCGCGGCCGCCGGGCCCGCCGTGCGCAGGAGGGAAAGAAACACACAGACACAATGAATCGTCGATTCCCCAGAAGATATGGGAAGATATGGGAAGCGAGGGGGAAGACAAAAACCCCGAAAATGTTAGGAAATGTGGGGAATCCTGTCATTTGTGTGTAGTTATTGGTGTGTCCTTGGGCCCCTTCACGTGTGCCAGTGCTCCCCTTGGGTGTCCGCAGGCTAGCCGCGCGGCGCGCGGCGCCTGGCTGCGCAAAGCCGCAGCCCGGCTGAGCATTGCTGCTTTTGCTGCTGCCTTCTCCTCTTCTTCCCCTCCCCCTTTTGCTTTCCCCCTTTCCCCCGAAGTCGCCACGGGGCGCACCCCTCTTCGGCTGGTAAAAAAGTGCTCCCCTTGGGTGTCCCGCCTCGCGTGTTTCGACGAGGGACGACGGCAGGCCGCGGCCGCCGGGGCCCCGATGGGGCTCGCTGCTCCCCGGGGGTCCCGCCTCGCGTTTTCTCGGGTCGGCGTCGCTCGAATCTCGGGGGCGGAAAAGAGGGGGGTGATGACTAGGGGGGGGGTGGATTTCATGGCGCGGGCCATGATTTTTCCTCAGATTTCATGGCGCCTCTTCTTATTTTATTACGTCCCAGGCCCCCCCGCTGGGCCGCGCACATGCCGCTGGTCATGATTTGCACCCCCCCCTCTTGGACGCCCCCCTCCTTGCCGCTCCCGAGAATCATGATAATTGTTGTTGGTTCGGTTACAGTGGGGGCCCATGCCAAGAAACACCCTGCTTGCCTCCAGGGTGCCCTGGGTTTCTTGAGTTTCGATGGTTTCGCTATGGACAGCGTGACGTTCCCACGCGAAACATCAATGGACGTCCTGGGGTCTCAGGGTTGGGTTTCTTGTGGAAGGTTTCTTGTGGACTGGCCTCCACTGTAAGCCACGTCTTCTTTTGGCTGATGGGGGGTGTGTGTGCCTGTGCATATCGTTGTGGAGGACGATCAATTGAGAGGAAGCATGTTGCCTAATCATGTCCAGATGTCTAGAACATGTGTTGAAACTGTTTGACACATGTAATACACATGATTAAGCTTGTTCAGGACATTGTTCAACATTTTAAATGAATTTCCAAATCGATGATACGACTGTTAGGGTGTCCATGGTCGTGGCATCCACAAGTGTGTCATATATAGTTAGGCGGATCTGGCTGGTTTTCAGTTGGTCTGGAGGGTTGAAGGCTAGGGTGGTGGTTGGCTGGGCCCCCCCTGAGCGAAACCAGCGCCAGAAGCAGGGGGAGACGGCAGGAGCATTAGGGGAGAGGAAGAGGACGCGGAGTAGGAGCAGGAGTCCGAGGCGGGGATTTATCCACAACCACCTCCAGGGGGATCTACGGATCTTATCCTCGGGGACCTCGTCAGGCAGCGGGTACGGATGATATATTTGCGCCCCCCAGGGGCCTAGATATATCCACATCCGCCGCTTCCTGGGGTCCCAGAACGTCGGTTCCCTGGGCGGTGGATATGAATAAGTTCCCGCAGTGCAGGGAAGAAGAGAAGGAGTGGGAGCAGGAGAAGGAGGAGGAGGAGGAGGAGGAGGCGGAGGAGGAGGAGGAGGAGGAGGGAGGAGGGAGGAGGGAGGAGGGAGGAGACCACGACACGTCTCCTCTGTCGAAGTGACCACCTCAGGCATTATCGTGATCGACGGGCTGGAGGTCGAGAACCCGAAGGCCGCCGGGACATTCAACATGACCGCCGCTCCACAGTTCAGCTCAGTTGCGAGCAGGCTTTTGGATTGCGTGCGGAATCGCAGTGGATGGAGGCCTTGCGCACGGGGTGGCAGGAGGGGGGGCCCCCAGGCCACCCCTGGGGAGCGTGCTGCGCAAGATATCGTTCCACGTCGTCCTTCTCAGCTGCGCCTATTCTGTGTCAAAGGGTCTAGTAGCCATGGCTGTGACGGACCCTCTTCTTGGGCACATTTGGCGGTCGTTCAGGGCGCCGGGCCTCCTGGTTTGGGGCATGGGTCGCTCGGGTGCCTGATTCCTTCTCCCTCGGGGGTCGTTTGGGGGCGTTCGACCTTTTGGGACCTTTTGATCATACGGTTGCGTTGCGTTGCGTCGCGTCGCATGGCGTCGCTTTGAAATGCTTTTACATGCCTTGCGTTTCATTGCTTTGCTCTATTTTGCATGTCGTCGCATTGCAGTGAGTTGCAACTATACTTCCCCGCCCTCCTGTGTTGTTGGGTCATCGGTCTCTCTCTTCGCAGGTCCGCGCGTCATATCCTCTTAACCTTCTCGCCCTCATGCTCCGTTCCCTCGTCGGCCTCCGCGATTTCGGTACACCCCTCACTCGTTACGTGCCCCGTGCCCCCATAGGGATTCCCACCTATGGCCACAGAGAGGGTATTCGCATAGTGCCCCCCGCTGATCTCGTCACACCTCTCTCACGCGGATCGTTCTCCATAGGGAGCTGCATCTACGGCCACAGTGAGGACGTTCGCATAGCGTCCACCCGCCCATTGAGGCACACACGCACACACATACACAAACACACACACACACACACGCACACGCACACGCACACGCACACGCACACGCACACACACACACACACGCACACGCACACGCACACGCACACGCACACGCACACGCACACGCACACGCACACGCACACACACCACACACCACTGGGATCATGCCTCCATCGGGAGGTCCACCTACGGCCTCAGCAGGCGCGTTGGCACAGTGTCCCCCCGCCCAGTTCGGCACCTCCCTCACGCGCTTCGCCCCCCAATGTGTCAATCATTGGCCGCACCAGTGGGCAAGTTCGCACGGCGTCCCCCCGCCGATTTCGGCACATTCCTCACTCGGATGGTGCCCCACAGGGAGCTCCATCGACGGCCTCGGTGGACGCGCTCGCGCGGTCCGTTCCTCTCGGCCCACGCAGGGAGCTCAACGCGCCAGTACGCGTTTTTGCTCCGCAAGCCCCTGCCTGCACTGCCTCGCGGCGCGCAGTATGTTGAGAATAGGGCGCGCTCTGCGCTGCACGCAACCTGGGTCTGAGCCATTCGCCAGGATAGCTCACCACTTTGCATTGTTCGGCACCGGATTGTTCTGGATTGACTTGCGGCAGGGTGCATCGTAGTGCCCCCCGCTGCTTTGTATTGCCCTTCCTCGTATCCCTGTGCACTGCGTGTTGCGTTGCATCGTTTTACGCCGCATTGCAGTGCGTTGTGCGCGCATGACGCTGCCTTGTTTTGCTTTCCAACTCTGCGATATGCTCACAACTTTGCACATGCATGCCATTGCATGCTATTGCGTTGCAGTGCTTTATGTCTTTCTGTCGATTTGCGTTGAGGTGCATTGGCTTGATGTCCGTTGTATGGTTTGGGTTGCTCTGCAGTGCGTTGCGTTGCGTCGCGCTACATGGCTTCGCGTACGGATTTGGTTGGTGTGCGATGCACTGTGTGAGGTGTGTCTGCGTAGCGTTGCATCGCAATTGCATTGCAATGCATTGTAACGAAACGTAATTGCGATGCAATGCATCGCGCTGCAGTGCGCTCCACTGTAAAGCAAACCTGTTCACTCCGAACTCAAGCGCTCTGCAGAGCAACGCTCAGCAATCCAAACTAGTCCACGCAAATACGTCCAGTGCAGTACGATGCCATGACATGCAAGCGCAATGCTTTGCGATGCACGGGTCGCCAACGTATAACAGTACATGGCGACTCATAACGCAGTAAGGCAACGCCAGTGAGTGCGTGTTTTATCTAAGGTATTGGCTTCAGCGAGTTCAGCGCTTCAGGCTGTCATCAGTATCTAGTGGCACTCTGCCCATCTCACCACCGTGCTTGGGCCGATGACAAGAGGCTCTTCGGGGGCCTCCTGGAGGCATCTTTGGGGCCTTTTGTTGGGGGCCTCTTGAGAGCATTATCATGCGGCCCTCTTGAGCACCTCTGGCGGCCCTCTGGCAAGCTTCTCCTTTGCGTCGTAAGGGCCCTATGGAACTCTGCGTGCCATTGGGACCTTCCTGCGCCCCTTCCTGTCCCGCCTTTGTGCGGGGCCCCTTGTTTGGGGGCCCCTCCTGGGGGACCTCCCGGGAGCCTCCTTGGAGCCTCCCGGGCCCCTCTTGAGGGCCTCGGGGGTCCTCTCCTGGGCTGCTCGACCTTGGCCGTCTTGGACGCTCTGGGACAGAAAAAAGGCACGGCAAGTACAGTCGGGGCTCTGAATAAGGAACCCTTTTCGTTGGGGAGGGGCTCCGTGTTCCTTCATTGTTCTTCATTTTGCCCAAGGTCATCTTTGGATTTTCGGTGGGAAGTCGAAGTTGAACTTCTGGAGAAAAGGGGCCTCGTTCCTTTTTTTTGGTTCCTTTGGTCCACGCCCCGACGGTATGTCGCAAGTGTGCACGAACGGATCTCAGGCGGTTCAGTGTTCACGTGGCCTCTTGGGCCAGCCCCCAGGGCCTCCAAGACGGCCGAAGAGGCCCCAAAGAGAGCTCCTCCTCCTCCTCTTCCTCTTCCCCCTCCTCTTCCTCCTCCTCCTCATCCTCTTCCCCCTCCTCCTCGTCGTCGTCCTCCTCCTCCTCCTCCTCCTCCTCCTCCTCCTCCTCCTCTTCCTCCTCCTCCTCCTCCTCCTCCTCCTCCCCCCTCCTCCTCCTCCTCCTCCTCCTCCTCCTCCTCCTCCTGGAAGCTGGAGTCGGTGTGGGCAGGCTTGGCTTCCGGAGGCCCACGCGGCAAGAGTCGGAAGCGCCCCGCAACGCCCAGGAGCTCACCAGCCTTTCAACAGCCACATCCGTATCAGAGCGCTGGGGCACTCCACTACGTCTGACGGCAAGATGGCGAGTTCTATGTCGTTTGTCTTCAGTTTTCTTCCAGCTGCGGGCAATAGTTATATCCACATCCAGTGCGTCTTGGATTCTTGGGCTCTCTTCCCCAGAAACCGTAGACGCACTGGATATTGATAAAAAACTGGCCCCAAGAGGCTCGATTTTATCCATATCCCGTGCGCCTCGGCGTTGCGGCACCTCTTCCCAAAAAGTCCACGACTCTCTGGATACGGATATAAGTACTTCCCGCACCAGCTCTCTTCCAGCAGAAAGCTAAGCCCGATTTGGGGGCGCGCCGGACCAATCTCGATCGCAGACCTGGCCTTCTGGGTGGACCAGGGGGGCGAAAGGGTGGAATTTCATCGGCCCAGACTGGGGAGACACATCGACCCCGAATCGTGCAAGAGGTATCTGAGAGGCCTTTTCTGGTCTCTTTACTCTCAGGAGGCCTCTTGGGGACATATTGGGGAGCCGTTCTGGGTGCCTATTCGGGGTGTCTTGGGGGTCGGTGGGCGCTTCTTGAGGGCCTCCAGGGCCTGATGGGCTTCTCCAGGGGCTTGCTGGCGGTCTCGGGTGGCGTCCTGGTGGACCGATCCAGATGGCCCTTCGAGTTCCTGGTCCTGTCTGGTGAGCTTCCTGGGCCCCTGTTGAGGCAGGGAGCTGTCTTGGAGCGGCACTGAGCGGTCCTCCAGCCTTCTTGTTCGGAGGGGGCACTGTCAGGGGTGGACAGACCTCCTACCCTGACACGTCGATTAGCGAATCGGCCGTTGTCGGTTCGCGAGAGGGCGCCGCGGCCGACATTTTTGCGGGTCCAGGTCCGTCGGCTTCGGTCCCAGGCCGTTTTCACTAGAGGGAGGTTGACTAGAGGGAGGTGTGTCCACCGCCCACACTGAGCGGCGTTGAGCGGTCCTCCAGCCTTCTTGTACGGAGGAGGGAATCAAGTTCTACCGCAACTGAAGCAGTTTCTGTCTCGTTCGCTTGGGGATCGTCAGGTCTCTAGCTGCTGCACTGCTCAGAATAGTTGCGTCACTGCCTTTCCGCTAGCACGCCAAAAAATGAGTTCCTCGAGCTTTCAACTCGATATTCCAGGGAGCTGTCTGCCGAGAGAGGGGGCTGCCTCGCCGGGGCGACAGAGGCCCGCGTGAACCCGAGCGGAGCGTCTGCTCGCCTCGTGCCTGCTCGCTCTGCCGGGGTCTCCGGGCGGTGCTGCCCTCGCCCTCGGCTGGGCACGGGGCACCCCTCGGGAGGAGGAGGAGGAGGAGGAGGAGGAGGAGGAGGAGGAGGAGGAGGAGGAGAGGAGGAGGAGGAGGAGGAGGAGGAGGAGGAGGAGGGAGGAGGAGGAGGAGGTGTGCGGCTCCTCCTTCCGCGGCGCCCGCGCCCGCGTCGCGTCGCTACCGGCTCGAGGCCCATCTCGGCCGGCCCGATCCGCTGCCGATGCTCCGGCGATCCGACGCGGCCCGGCGTCTGCACGTGGCCGTGTTGGGCTCGGCTCGGGGTCGGTGCGATCGACCGACGCCGGGCCGTCGCGCGGCCCGGGTCGGCGCACGCTCCGACCTGGCCCGGCGTGTCGTCCGGGTGCTGGCCGCGCCTGCCCCTTGGGCTCCCAGCGCACAGCTCCGCGTGCCGCTTGCCCTGCGATCTTCCAGGGTGTTGTTTGCTTGTTTTTTATGTTTTAGGACGCTTAGCAGTCGTTATCCGCCCTCCCTCTCCTCTTCCCCTCCCCCAGGTTAACTGTAACGATCGTATGCGGGAGGGTGGGGGAATGGACCCACTCCCAGAGGCTGGCGCTGGCGCGCGTACTACGGCGATGGGCGGTCGCAGCAGCGCACCCCTGCCACGGAGTGCCCCACCCCGCCCAAGCGTTATTGTCACCTTGGGCCCCAACCCCTCCCACCCCGAGCAATGA